TCTAACTCTCCATTTAATAACTCTCCTCTCCTATTTTTAACTGACAAATCCATTTGTTCTCTAGGCTTTCTTAACTTGTTAATCTCACTCCAAACTTTTTCTTATTTTCAACAAATTTGTTGATACATCTCACCCACTCTCTCATTTGCTCTCTTTTTTAGATTGCTTCACCACTCTCTTAACTTCTCTCTTTTCTCCATATACTCTTCCCTCCTTGCATCACTTCTACTTTGTAAAAACTTCTCATATGCTAACTTTTTCTCCCTTACTACTCTCTTTACATCATCATTTCCACCCAAACGCTCCTCTTCCCTCCTGCAACCCACTTTCCTGTAACCACAAACTTCTGCTGAACACTCTAACACTACATTTTTTAAACCTACCCCATACCTCTTTGACCCCATTGCCTATGCTCTCATTAGCCCATCTATCCTCCAGTAGCTGTTTTTATCTTACCCTAACTGCCTCCCCTTTTAGTTTATAAACCTTCACCTCTCTCTTCCCCAATGCTTCTATTCTCCTTGTATCCCATCTACCTTTTACTCTCAGTGTAGCTACAACTAGAAAGTGATCTGATATATCTGTGGCCCCTCTATAAACATGTACATCCTGAAGTCTACTCAACAGTCTTTTATCTACCAATACATAATCCAACAAACTACTGTCATTTCGCCCTACATCATATCGTGTATACTTATTTATCCTCTTTTTCTTAAAGTATGTATTACCTATAACTAAACCCCTTTCTATACAAAGTTCAATCAAAGGGCTTCCATTATCATTTACACCTGGCACCCCAAACTTACCTACCACACCCTCTCTAAAAGTTTCTCCTACTTTAGCATTCAAGTCCCCTACCACAATTACTCTCTCACTTGGTTCAAAGGCTCCTATACATTCACTTAACATCTCCCAAAATCTCTCTCTCTCCTCTGCATTCCTCTCTTCTCCAGGTGCATACACGCTTATTATGACCCACTTCTCGCATCCAACCTTTACTTTAATCCACATAATTCTTGAATTTACACATTCATATTCTCTTTTCTCCTTCCATAACTGATCATTTAACATTACTGCTACCCCTTCCTTTGCTCTAACTCTCTCAGATACTCCAGATTTAATCCCATTTATTTCCCCCCACTGAAACTCTCCTACCCCCTTCAGCTTTGTTTCGCTTAGGGCCAGGACATCCAACTTCTTTTCATTCATAACATCAGCAATCATCTGTTTCTTGTCATCCGCACTACATCCACGCACATTTAAGCAACCCAGTTTTATAAAGTTTTTCTTCTTCTCTTTTATATATATATTATATATATTATATAATATATATATATATATATATATATATAATATATATATATATATATATATATATATATGTATATATATATATATATACATATATATATATATATATATATATATATATATATATATATATATATATATATATATATATATATATATATATATATATATATATATATATATAAATATATATATTTATTATCACATTGGCCGATTCCCACCAAGGCAGGGTGGCCCGAAAAAGAAAAACTTTCACCATCATTCACTCCATCACTGTCTTGCCAGAAGGGTGCTCTACACTACAGTTTTTAAACTGCAACATTAACACCCCTCCTTCAGAGTGCAGGCACTGTACTTCCCATCTCCAGGACTCAAGTCCGGCCTGCCGGTTTCCCTGAACCCCTTCATAAATGTTACTTTGCTCACACTCCAACAGCGCGTCAAGTATTAAAAACCATTTGTCTCCATTCACTCCTATCAAACACGCTCACGCATGCCTGCTGGAAGTCCAAGCCCCTCGCACACAAAACCTCCTTTACCCCCTCCCTCCAACCTTTCCTAGGCCGACCCCTATCCCGCCTTCCTTCCACTACAGACTGATACACTCTTGAAGTCATTCATTTTCGCTCCATTCTCTCTACATGTCCGAACCACCTCAACAACCCTTCCTTAGCCCTCTGGACAACAGTTTGGGTAATCCCGCACCTCCTCCTAACTTCCGAACTACGAATTCTCTGCATTATATTCACACAACACATTGCCCTCAGACATGACATCTCCACTGCCTCCAGCCTTCTCCTCGCTGCAACATTCATCACCCATGCTTCACACCCATATAAGAGCGTTGGTAAAACTATACTCTCATACATTCCTCTCTTTGCCTCCAAGGACAAAGTTCTTTGTTTCCACAGACTCCTAAGTGCACCACTCACCCTTTTTTCCTCATCAATTCTATGATTCACCTCATCTTTCATAGACCCATCCGCTGACACGTCCACTCCCAAATATCTGAATACATTCACCTCATCCATACTCTCTCCCTCCAATCTGATATCCAGTCTTTCATCACCTAATCTTTTTGTTATCCTCATAACCTTACTCTTTCCTGTATTCAATTTTAATTTTCTTCTTTTGCATTCTCTACCAAATTCATATATATATATATATATATATATATATATATATATATAATATATATATATATATATATATATATATATATATATATATATGTATATATATATATATATATATATATATATATATATATATATAATATATATATATGTATAATATATATATGTATATATATATATATATATATATATTTTATATATATATATATATATATATATATATATATTATATATATATATTATATATATATATATATATATATATATATATATTATATATATATATATATATACAAACATTGTGTCTACGTCCACAGCAGGACTCGAACCTGGTAACTCTGTATCAGAGTCCACAGTACTTTACCAATGAGCTAGACCCAGGATAAGTATGGGCACTTAGCCGAAGATAAACGATGTTGCCCCATACCTCCGGGCACCAAGCTCGTTTTGGAAGTTATTTCATTGAATCTTGCCACATGCAGTAGACAACTAAAGAGTAAATTACAAGGCCAATATTGTCAAAGTATGACTCTTGGCTCCACTCCGAGGACAGCGAGAATTAACTTCTCCACAACAAGACGGGCAGCAAACAGCAACTACACTCTGACTGCACCCTTATCCAGAACATCTCTTCATCTGAGATCGTTTATTTCTAAGATAAATCGTGTCTGGCACATGTTCGTACAGTATAACGACATCGACGATATAAGTTCGCATGACCAAATAAAATCACTAGACCACAGATGGCTCCAACTTCATCTTATTCCCTATCTGTACAAACACTAACAATAAAGGCTCGCAAATGAGCTTATGTAGGTAACAGCACTTAGTTTGTAAGTAACGTTAAGTACCCTAAACCTAATCTTGTAAAGCTCTGTGTAAAATGAGAGATAGATAGATAGATAGATAGATAGATAGATAGAAAAGAGAGAGAGAGAGAGGAGAGAGAGAGAGAGAGAGAGAGAGAGAGAGAAGAGAGGAGAGAGAGAGAGAGAGAGAGAGAGAGAGAGAGAGAGAGAGAGAGAGAGAGAGAGAGAGAGAGATAGAGAGAGAGAGAGAGAGAGAGAGAGAGAGAGAGAGAGAGAGAGAGAGTGAGAGAGAGAGTGAGAGAGATTCATTACGATTATACAGTTACGTATATTATTTTAAACAAAGGGACAACTCCATACCTCATATCGCAAGGTCGAGAATCCACTATATAATCTAGTACCCGGATAATATTATTTGGTAACTGTTATTGGTAGTAAATCTGTAGGAAAGAACACCTAAAAATACAATGTAGGTCATTAGGAAGGTAAAAGCTTAAAAGCTTTTGTATGAACCTTAATGTATTGTAAATCTGAATACGATATCAGATTTGTACAAATTTGCTCCTAAGAATATTTCTGAACACATTTTCAATCAATTTACAGTTATAAATAATTTAAAGAAAATAATTAATTTTTGATGTAAAGTGGTCAGAACATAAACATATATAGTACGACCTTTTAATAAACCTTTTGTCAATTATGGAAGAAAATTTTGATAATTTGAGTCTTAGGTATTAAATGACGGTTTTCTATGTGAAGCAATTATGATGTTGCAATTTGTAAACAAAATAATTAGAAATGCTATGACTGAATTAGTCAAGTTACAAAAATTAGATGAAGGTTAACTACCTTTCTATGATAATGCAAGATTTTCGGGGCAAGTTGACAAGTGTCTAACAACGGATCTTCCACACTAACAATGGAAGCCATTGAAAAAGCTTGGGACTAAATAGTTCTTATTAATTCCCCTAAAATACCTGAAATCAGGAGTTATTTATCAAGCATCATAAACCAAAATGAATATTAAAAAAACAAATAAATAACTGGGTTGTTTGGAAGCGTGTGTGTGTAAGGTACAAGAAAATATTGAGTTGATTAATAATAATATGAAAGAAATTAAGCCGGTTGCTTTAGCATTATGAGAAATAAATCTAATGAGAGAATTCCAATGGGAGGTTTATAACAAGTGTTTGTGAACCCGGGACGAGGGACCAGAGGAATGAAAAAGAGAAAATTATTTAGCTTTAAATTTTATTAATATTAACCCACAGATATATTTTGTGACTTTCAGCTAGAAATTTCAACACCGACAACTTGTTTGAGTCTATATTTAATAGCAGAAACATGAATATAAACTTTTGTTTGGTTACCCATTGTTTTTTCCAGGTTTCCTTTGCATATGCCAGGAGATGAAAGGTTATCTTTTTCTGACTCATTAATTCGTGCTAAGTTGTTCTCAAGAATGAAAAAAAATGTCACTTGTTTCTTGTGTCACATATTTATAATGGATTCATCCATTTTGCCAGTCATTCTTATATAATTTTCACTATGTGCCAAAATTCAGCATCAATGGTAATGCTGTAATGATTGAGGCTCATAAAGGTACAGAGGATTTTGTGTGAGTTCTGCAATATTTATTAAAGTGTAAAGTTGAGTGGATAATATTACTGATGAATTCAAGGATTGTAAACTCAGGAATAATTTCCTACAAATTGTTCTCTGCACATTGTCTTTCTGCTTCTACTTTTGTATCCACCTGTACACAGTGGAGACGCTAATTTTGTGTTTATCAGATATTTCCTTCTCTGACATGCCCTTCATCCAGAGCTCAACAACCAGCGCCTGGTCACTTGATGCTGCCCACTTTCTTGATATACCTATCTCCATGCCACTGATTCTGTGGAGAAAATATTAAAAATGTATTCTCACGGACACAAACACACACACACACACACACACACAGGTGTGTGTGTGTGTGTGTGTGTGTGTGTGTGTGGTTCCACAGGGGTCAGTCCTAGGACCTGTGTTATTTTTGGTACATGTGAATGACATAACGGAAAGGATGGACTCAGAAATGTCCCTGTTTACAGATGATGTAATGTTGATGAGGAGAATTAAATCGGTCGAGGATCAGGCAGGACTACAAAGAGACCTGGACAGGCTACAAGCCTGGTTCAGCAACTGGCTCCTTGCATTTAACCCTGCCAAATGCAAAGTCATGAAGATCGGAGAAGGGCAAAGAAGACCGCAGACAGAAAATAGTCTAGGTGGCCAGAGACTGCAAACCTCACTCAAGGAAAAAGATCTTGGAGTGAGTATAATACCGAGCACATCTCCTGAGGCTCATATCAATCACATAACTGCTGCAGCATATGGGCGCCTGGCAAATCTAAGAATTGCGTTCAAGACTCTGTACACCATATACGTCAGACCCATATTGGAGTATGCAGCACCAGTTTGGAATCCACACCTTGTCAAGCACGTCAAGAAATTAGAGAAAGTGCAAAGGTTGGCAACAAAGAAAGGTTAAGATAAATTTGGCTGACGACACTGGAAGACAGGGGGGTCAGTGGAGACATGATAACGATATACAAAATAATGCAAGGAATTGACAAGGTGGAGAATGACAGGATGTTCCAAAGATGGGACACAGAAAAAAGGGGCCAGAATTGGAAGATGAAGATTCCTATGAGTCAAAGGGATGTTAGTAAGTATTGCTTAAAGTCATAGAGTTGTCAGGAAGTGGAATAGGCTAGAAAGTGACGTAGTGGAGCTAGGAATATATTTTAAAACGAGGCTTGATAAAGCTCATGGAGCCTGGAGAGAGAGTGTAGACAGCCTGTACTGTCTGCACAGACAGCCTATGCTGTCTGCCAGCGTAGTTCATATTTTGCGGCACTCAGGTACTGCCCTCTCTACCCCTTCCCAGGTCAGTGGGACGCTGGTCCCCCTCGCGCTCACTCTCTCAGCGGCCTAGACTCAGACAACAGTCCTACTCCCTCTCTCCCCCTCGTGGGCAAGGCCCTCCCGGGCCATGGGCACAAACACACAAGCCTGTGAACCCAATACGACTTTGCAAAGCAAGAACCCTCTGCAGTCCTATAATTGACTCCACGCCACTGCATCACACCAATAAAGCTGTTCACATTGGTAGCAGCAGTGGTCGCAGCAGTTGTGTTTGCCCGGAGAGAGAAGGAAATAGGATGAAGTCATCTTCACTTCATCACCCTACCAGACTAGACACATCCGTCTCTCAACGAGTTATCCTGATGTCGTGTCTGCACGTTTCAGCACCCAGACACAGGTACAAGTAGGATCTAGCCGAAATTTGCCAAATTTCTTCGAGAATTGTAAGTGGCGTCCCAGGGACTCCACTCGACAGCGTCCCACGCTGTTTCTCAAGTCATGTGTTCAGCGTCACTTGTATGTTCTGCTGTTGTTATTCAGCTCAGCAAAGCTATTTCAGCAAGTCAGAGGTGAGTTTTTGTGGTGATTTCTGCCTCCAGTGTGCGTGTCTCTGTGTTTGTGGGAGGAGAGGAGGAAGCGGTGGGTTCCTGCCTCACTCACACCTCACCCGCCTACCACCACACTCCACCACTATGTGCTCACTCCCTCTGCTGTGTCTTCTGCTGTTTTCCGTGTGAATTCATTGCCAGAGCTGTGTATCCGAGTGCCCGAGGCCACTCGAAGCTACGTGGATCATCATGCCACGTAGATCACGACGCCACGTGGATTGTGATGCCATGTGAGGTGTGGACGAAGCCACGTGGATCTACGAGCCACATGAGTTACCGAGCCAGACGTCCCAGGCCACATGCTGTGGTCTGCTGCTGCCCAACTTCATGACTTCACGATGTCTGCATGACGTCACCTCGAGACGTCTGCTGACGTCACCATGCTGCTGACGTCACCGCGACATCACGCCTGACAACACATGATGCCACATCGAGTGTGGCATCATGTGTTGTCAGGCATCATGTTGTACGGCATGTACCGCGGGTGTGTGTAAAGTTTTCCGTGTGTCCAGTGTGGTCTTGAGCCCAGACCCCAGAGTAGCACCACTGTGTTACTGTCACCCAGTGTGACCAGCGCGTTTGACAGCTCATATTAGTCAGCCCCAAGCATCTGAGCCCCTTGTACAGAAAGCTCTTATGCTCGTCTCTCATAGATGTTCTGCAGAATCGTACCTGCTACGATTCCCATCGAGATTTGTTTCACTTCACCTCCAGACGTTCAGAGTTCGGTTATATGAAGAGAAACAAGTCTAGGGACGCTTAGACTAACCTCTGCTATAACTCCAACTGCCGAGAGAATGACACTCGTGAAGCAGCAATTTAAGCCCTGTCGGCAGGTGCTGTGTCAGCCTCGTGTCACAGCTTCAGTGAGCTCCTGCACAAAGATGATGTCACTTTGACTGCTAGTTCGCTCACTGCAGTCTGGTGTATGATGTTACAACTCCCAGATGTTTCGACTCACTTCACGCTGCTCGCCGGCAGTGACAGCCCAGCGACAGTAACAGTCGAGAAATGTCCTCCTGAGTCGCTTGCCAGAACTCCTGCCCAGTTGCCGAGTACTGACGATGCCTCACTCGACACCAGCATGTCGTGCCCCAGGTTGAGTGAAACCTGCAGTGACTCCTACGATGACTGCTTCACCGATCTAGAGGAGACCGTACCCCGTTACGTCACAGCTCAACCGCAGCGATGTCTCCTGTGTTGCAGTATCTGTTCAGACGTGTTCTGTGCCCTGTTCCTACGAGAGAGAGTGACCAAGTTTTTTTTTACCGCCAGTATTGATAAAGTCATGAAGATTGGGGAAGGGCAAAGAAGACCGCAGACGGAGTACTGTCTAGGGGGGCCAGAGACTACAAACCTCATTCAAGGAAAGGATCTAGGGTTGAGTATAACATTGGGCACATCTCCTGAGGCGCACATGAACCAAATAACTGCAGCAAACCTAAGAATAGCATCCCAACACCTCAATAAGGAATCGTTCAGGACCCTGTACACCGCGTAAGTTAGGCCTTTTTTCAATATGCAGCACCAGTTTGGAACCCACACCTAGCCAAACATGTTTGGAATTTAGAGAAAGTGAAAAGGTTTGCAACAAGACTAGTCCCGCAGCTAAGGAAAATGTCCTAAGAGGAGAGGTGAAGGTAAATCGTCCTGACGGCACTGGAGGACAGGAGAGAGAAAAGATGGGGGGGTTATGTGATAACGACATATAAAATAATGAGAGGAATTGAGAAGGTGGATAGAGACAGGATGTTCCAGAGGTGGGACACGGTTGGAAGTTGAAGACTCAGATGCATCAGAGGGATTTTAGGAAGTATTGCTTTAGTCTCCAGAGTTGTCAGGAAGTTGTCTGGGAAGTGAAATAGTGGAGGCATGATAGGTATGATAAAGCTCATGGAGCAGGAAGCGTGACCTAGTAGCGGACAGTGAAGAGGCAGGGCCAGGAGCTGTGAATGGACCTCTGCAACCACCACTAGGTGAGTACAAATAGGTGAGTACACACACACTCACACACACACACATGCACACACTCTCAGAGAAACGCACATTACAAACAACCACACACAAATGGTTTTTCATTCTGTGGTAGCTAGAAAAAAAAATGGGTTGCCAGAGAGAAGGACAGTAAACCAGGGTACTGGAGGATGAGTCTGAGAAGGAAGACTGGTTAGCAGAGCTCATGAAAAGGGAATGTGAGTTGGGAAGGAAGCTAGAAGAGCTTAGCATAAAAACAGACGAGTGAATAGCTGCAGAGAGTATGAAGAGGGAGATGCAAGTCATTGCAGCAGAGGATAAGATACAGAGATTAGAAGAGGAACTAAAACAATCTGAAACAGCCTAATGAACTAAGCAGCAATGTGGGCATGACATCAGAAACTGTTACCTCAGTCATAAACTAGGGGACTGTAGGGACCGAAGGAGTAAAACTGTATGCAGAGGCCTTATCAGACAATTGTGGAGCCCGAGAAAAAAGAGGAACACATCAGGAACAATCGAAGGGACTGTAGAGAATGAAAAAGATGAGCTATATATAGAGGCCTTAACAGACCACTGTTGTGCCCAGAGAAAGCTGAGAAGGGAAAATGACAGACAGTGGGCTCAGGGAAGACAGAGAGTGAAGAGATTGAAGAAAGGAATGCTGCAATGGTGGCAACTAAATCTAATCAGGTGATACATAGGAATATGCAGAGAATCAAAGGGAGATATCAGTCTTTGTTTATTGGCTCCAGGAAGTTGAAGGGGAAACTTACAAAGCAAGAAGACAGGCGGAGAAAAAAGTGATTGAAAGCATCATGAAAGCAATAGGAGAAGATGACATAATCTAGCTGGCAAATTTTTTGAGAATAGAGTGGTTTGCAAGAGGAGGAAACCGGCTAGTCAAAGTAATTTTGAAGGCAGAATCGGCTCGAAACTGGATCTTGCACGATAAAGCACGACTAAGGGACACATTGGCGTATTGGAGGGTGTATCTCGACTGCCATAGAACACAAAATGAAAGGCAGAAACTGAAAGAGAGGGGACAAAGACAAAAGGAGAAAAGAGAGGCTAAGATGGAGATGAATAGGAGAGCCCAGACTCAAGAGGAAGATCAAATACAACCTCCCTCAAGACGACCTACAGAAGCCCTCCATCCTGGACAACCCTAGTGCAACCAAACATTCTAACCAAAAACCCACATGCCATACCCAATGCACCTACCGAACTCACTACAAACTCCACCTTCACAGTAACACTCCATAGTTTTTTGTCAGGCCTCCTGCTTCCCCAACCCCAACATACAAATGGTATACAAATGGACAGAATAACAAATAAATGTGAGGAGTGGCACGAAAGACTCAAAGAAACATCCCCAGATATAATAGCACTCACAAAAACGAAACTCGCCAGGATGATAACAGATGCAATCTTTCCATCCATATTTCAGATTCTGAGGAAAGATAGAGAGCAGTGGGAGAGGAGGAGTTGCACTGCTTATAAAAAACCAGTGGGGATTTGAAGAAATGGGAAGAATGGATGGAATGGGCATGAAGGACTACAAAGTAGGAACAATCCAGTCTGGGGGCCCTAAGGTAGTAATTGCAGTGATGTACAACCCGCCACAGAACAATGATAGGCACATTAGCCGAGGCGGCCAGAAGAGCTCACATGTGATTTCAATCACAAGCAGATTAACTGGGAAAACCTGGAGCCCCATGGGGGTCCCAAAACATGGAGAGCCAAGATGATGGATATGGTACCGGAAAACCTCATGCATCAACATGTCAGGGACACTACCAGAGTGAGAGGTGAAGATGAACCAGCAAGACTGGACCTAGTATTCACCTTGAGTTGTTCGGACATCGAGGATATCACGTATGAAAGGCCCCTTGGAGCTAGTGACCATGTGGTTCTGAGCTTTGAATACATAGATGTGCTACAAGGGGAGAGAATAGAAGGAATAGGATGGGAGAAGCCAAACTACAAAAGAGGGGATTACACAGGCATGAGGAACTTCCTGTAAGACGTTCACTGAGAAAGAGAATTGGCAGGAAATCCTGTAAAAGAAACAATGGACTACGTGACAACAAAATGCAAGGAGGCAGAGGAGAGGTTTGTTCTCATGGGCAACAGAAATAATGGGAGGACTAGAACGAGTCCTTTGTTCACCCAAAAGTGTAGGGAGGCAAAAACTAAGTGCATTAGAGAATAAAAAAAGTACAGAACACATAGGACCCAGGAAAATAATGAGATTATCCGAAGAGCCAGAAACGAATATGCACAGATAAGAAGGGAGGCTCAGCAAAAATGGCATCGAAAGTCAAGTCTGACCCAAAGCTGTTGTATAGCCACATCCGGAGGAAAATAACAGTCAAGGAACTACACCTTAAGATGCACATTAGTGGTCAGGTGTACATTGACTATACACTTGGCTGAATGAACCTTATGTGAGAATGGATTACAGACTAACCCCTATGTGGTTATGAGTACGAGGAAATGTGGTTGAGAACATAGCAATATGCTTCTTATACCCAAATGGAATCAGGTGTAGAATAGGGGATGGTATGAAACTCTTAGGAAAACAGTGTCCATTTTTCAATGTCACATTTATTCTACGAAAATATTAAAAATAAATCGAATTTTTACATTTTCAAGAAACGTCGAAAAAACAAAGTTTGATTAAGGAAATAAAGTGAAGATAAATTCTTGGGGAATTGAAACAGAAAGTTCATCCACAGAACCCCTCAAGGAAGGTTCCTTGATGTTAGTGAGGGGCTCTTGATTTAGGGAATTGGATCTGTGCTCCAGTTCCCCGAATTAAGCCTGAATGCCTTCCACATCCCCCCCCCAGGCGCTGTATAATCCTCCGGGTTTAGCGCTTCCCCCTTGATTATAATAATAATAATCATCCACAGAAGTTTTGGAAACATTCTAGGAATTGGAGCCAGCCGCTCTGCCATAAGCCGCTCTGCTATTATCATCTCTGCAACAACCGCTAGCTAGCCGTTCTGCCTAACCCCTTTCATGAGTCATGAAGCTAACCGCTTTGCCGCTAGACATTCATACTAAACGTTCACTACTATGTGTGGGTAAGTACTCATCTATTCACCTATATGTAATTGCAGGGGTTAAGTCACAACTCCTGGCTTTGCCTATGTATGTGTGTGTTAGTTACCATTTTATCCTAGGCACATGTCTATTAGACACTAGGCCTGTTGTATATGCGTACGTGCGTGTGTATGTGTGTTTGTGTGTGTGTGTGTGTACTCACCTAGTTGTGGTTGCAGGGGTCGATTCATAGCTCCTCGCCCCGCCTCTTCACTGGCCGCTATTGGGTCACTCTCCCTGCACCATGATGTTTATCATACCTCTTTTTAAAGCTATGTATGGTTCCTGCCTCCACTACATCGCTTCCAAAACTATTCCACTTCATGACTACTCTGTGACTGAAGAAATACTTCCTAATATCTCTGTGACTCACCTGAGTCTTCAAATTTCTACTGTGTCACCTTGTTGCTGTGTCCAATCTCTGGAGCATTCTGTCTCTGTCCACCTTGTCAATTCCTCTCAGTATTTTATATGTCGTTATCATGTCCCCCCTATCTCTCCTGTCCTCCAGTGTCGTCAAGTCGATATTCTTTAACCTCTCCTCGTAGGACGTACCCCTTAGCTCTGGGACTAGTCTTGTTGCAAACCTTTACACTTTCTCTAGTTTCTTTACGTTCTAGGCTAGGAGTGGGTTCCAAACTGGCGCTGCATACTCCAATGTGGGCCTAACGTACACGGTTTACAGGGTCCTGAACGATTCCTTATTAAGATGTCGGAATGCTGTTCTTAGGTTTGCTAGGCGCCCATTTGCTGCAGCAGTTATTTAGTTGATTTGCGCCAAGATCTTTTTCCTTGAGTGAGGTTTGTAGTCTGTGGCCCCCTAGACTGTACTCCGTGTGCGGTTTTCTTTACCCTTCCCCAATCTTCATGACGTTGCACTTGGTGGGGTTGAACTCCATGAGCCAATTGCTGGACCCGGCCTGCAGCCTATCCAGATCCCTTTGTAGTTCTTCTTGGTCCTCGTTCCATTGAATTCTTCTCATCAACTTCACATCATCTGCAAACAGGGACACTTTGGAGTCTAATCCTTCCATCATGTCGTTCACAAATACCAGAAATAGCACTGGTCCTAGGACTGACGCCTGTGGAACCCCACTCGTCACAGGCGCCCGCTCTGACACCTCGCCACGTAACGTGACTCACTGCTGTCTTCCTGATAAGTATTCCCTAATCCGTTGTAGTGCCTTCCCTGTTATCCCTGCTTGGTCCTCCAGTTTTTGCACTAATCTCTTGTGTGGAACTGTGTTAAACGCCTTCTTACAGTCCAAGAAAATGCAATCTAGCCACCCCTCTCTATCTCTTGTCTTACTGCTGTCACCCTGTCATAGAACTCCAGTAGGTTTGTGACACAGGATTTCCCGTCCCTGAAACCATGTTGGATGTTGTTCATTCCTTTCTAGGTGTTCTACCACTCTTCTACTGATAATCTTCTCCATGACTTTGCATACTATACATGTCAGTGATGCTGGTCTGTAGTTTAATGCCTCATGTCTGTCTCTTTTTCTAAAAATTGAGACTACATTTGCTGTCTTCCATACCTCAATTAATCTCCCTGTTTCGATGGATATGTTGAATATTGTTGCTAGGGGTACACATAGCACCTCTGCTCCCTCTCTCAGGACCCATGGAGAGATGTTATCTGGCCCCATCGCCTTTGAGGTGTCTAGCTCACTCAGAAGCCTCTTCACTTCTTCCTTGGTTGTATATATTGTGTCTAGTACTTGGTGGTGTACTCCACCTCTCTGTCTTTCTGGAGTCCCTTCTGTCTCCTCTGTGAACACTTCTTTGAATCTCATGTTGAATTCCTCACATACTTCGCGATCGTCTCTTGTTGCCTCTCCTCCATCCTTCCTCAGCTTGATTACCTACTGTGAGGAACTGTGTCGAAGGCCTTCTTGTGTGTGTGTGTGTGTGTGTACGTTTGTGTGTGTGTGTGTGTGTGTGTGGGTGTGTGTGTGTGTGTGTGTGTGTGTGTGTGTGTTGTGTGTGTGTTTTGTGTGTGTGTGTGTGTGTGTGTGAGTGTGTGTGTGTGTGTATGTGTGTGTGTGTGTATGTGCATGTGTGTGTGAATGTGTGTGTGTGAATGTGTGTGTATGTTTGTGTATATTTGTGTGTACTCACATAATTGAGGTTGTAGTGGTCGATACATAGCTCCTGGCCTCGCCACTTCACTGATTGCTGCTAGGTTCTCCTTTCTCCTATTCCATGAGTTTTATCATTCCTCATCTTAAAACCATGTATGGTTCCTCTCTCCACTACATTACTTGCCAGACTAATCCACTTCCTGACAATTCTGTGAATGAGGAAATCCTTCCTAACATCTCTTTGACTCATCTGAGCCCTCATCCTCATATTGTGACCCCTTGTTTCTGTGTCCCATCTCTGGAACATCCTGTTTCTGTCCACCTTGCCAATTCCTCGCAGTATTTTGTATGTCTTTATCATGTCTCCCCCAACCCTCCTGTCCTCCAGTATCGTCATTCCGATTTCCCTTAAACTTCGTAGGACATTTCACTTAGGTCTGGAACTAGCCTTCATTCAAACCTTAGCATTTTCTCTAATTTCTTGACGTGCTTGACCAGTTGTGAGTTCCAATTTGGTGCTGCATGCTCCAGCAT